AGAGCGGTTTAAAGCACCGCCCATTCTCCCTCCACATCTGCTCCAGGTCATCCTGAACAAGGACACGGGGATTTCCGTGAGTACCAGGCGTCTGCCCGACCACCCTCCGTGGTCATGCTCAGCTGTGGCCCTTTCTGTCCTCATCGTATGAAGCTGGGTGGGGTCAAGCTCAGCGCCAACCACCAGCATGAACTGCTAGGGCCCCTCTGACCGGGGGCGGGGGTAGGAAGAGGTTCTGAGTGTGGCTGCTGCCTCCCTCCCTGCCTCACAAAGACATTTCTGACCTTTCATCCTTGCTTGTCACTCTGCCTCAGCCCAAGTACCACTCAAATTTTAGACAGAATATAAGAGGTCTTTAGCCAGTTCAAGGGAAATGCAATTGAAGTTCAAGTTTATTTTGGTACAATACATGATTGATTCCTGTTACACATTTTCTCTGAACCTGTGGAAGACCCCGTCTTAGTAATTGACATACTCTCCCCCCGGCCCTCAAACTTTAGCACTTAATTTCCATCAGTAAGTTGCTTTCAGAAACATCAGTGCTCCTGGATAAAAATTCAGGGTATCTAAACGGCAGCCAGTTATATTCCCTTGTGGTTAATTCTCCACTCTGTTTAACCTGGATTGCCTGAGCCATCTAGCGTGGCTTAATGGCACAGCTGAATTCTTGGAGAGTAGACTTTTCCGCTGGGTGCAAGCTACTGCCTGAGAGGCGCACATCTTCAGGGCTAAAGTAACAGCTGCAGCTAATCACTTCACCGGACGGAGAGGACGCAGGCACTGAGATGGGGAGCTGGATGTGTTGGTGTGCAGACCTCCTTGTCGCAGCTAGAGTCCTGGTGTTTGTTATCCCAACCCAGCAGGTCACCTTTCTTGGTGCACCAGATACTCTGAGCACATGCCTAACAGGCATGTAGGCTGAGGAGAGGCCTCTTCATTTCAGATGTGGTTACACATCCTCAGCAGTCCTGTACGTAGACAGGATCCAGAGTTTCCCTCTTACACCCTGTCATGGGCCATGTAACACCCTTGGGTGGCTGTGAGGTCTTGAGGTTCTTCGGGGCTGGGGCTGCGGAACCCCTGTGAAATGTGTTGGGGGGCCATGAGCACACCCTTACCTTAAAGCAGAGACCACAGCCCAGAGGCCTGCCACAGAATACCATACCACAGTCATCACCTTGCACTTTTTTCATTTGAATTAGCATTTAAAAAATTGGGAGTATACAGTGGGAAAAAAATCCAGATCTTTGGGTTCACTTAAACAATGAAACATGGCAACACTGAGTGCCGGTCCTTATGAGCTTAATGGAAAATAGTATCTCCCCACACTCTCCGCTTCATTCTTCAAGGTCCAATAGTGCCTGAGTCTTAGACCCAACTTTGAAATCCACTGCTCAGGAGCCTTCAGTAGAGATGGCATCTTCCTGCATTCTCTGAAAGCGCTTCCTACGGGCAGCTCCTTAATTCCTGCCCCTCCTCTGTAAGAGGACAGAATCGTGGCCTGCCCTTTACAGGCCAGGGCTGAAGGCCAACCAGACACCAATGCATCCAGCAGGCACACAGGAAGTGCCCTCAGGTCAGCGGGCATGACCCCTCATCGTGGACAAGTCTTCTCTCTGCCTGCCTTAGGAGGAGAGGGCGCCGTGGCCTTGCCTTTGATTCCCTGTGCCACGAATCGAGGGGGAAACTCATTAACTTCCAGATCCCAAATGCTCATGCCTCCCTTCGTTCCCTCATAGTGTGATCCAGCGTTGCTCCCTGAGCCCAATCACGTCATGCTGAACCACCTCTATGCACTTTCTATCAAGGTAAGTGCCGTGACTGCCCTTGAGAGCTGTGTTTCTCAGCATGTGCCCTGAGGAATCCTAGCAGCAGAACTGCCTGGGGTCTGTTTCAAAGGGTCACTTTTGGGACCTGATGCAGACCTTTAGGCTCAGGTTCTGAGGGCAAGCCCGGGAATTTATATTTTCTTGACCCCTCAATGACTCAGGCACTCTCCAGCCTTTGGTAATTCTCGCCCTCTTCCTTAGGATGGAGTGATGGTACTCAGTGCAACCCACCGGTACAAGAAAAAATATGTCACCACCTTGTTATACAAGCCCATATGAAGAGCCGGGAGCCGCTGGGGGTCAGGGACAATTTGCACCGCCAGGCTCCACGCGTGCATGCTTCCTGCAGAGGGAATGGACTGTAAATTTCTCATTTCACACCCTTGATAAGACATTTCATACCTGCCCTCGTCCTGCGTGAAGGTTTGTCTAGGCATGGCAGCTCCTGAAGAGCCTCGGTCTGTAAAGTCCTCTTAGTACCCGTAGCCATGAGCCTCGGGGCTCATCACAGCCGAGAAAGGAGCAAAGGGAAGCAGGGGAAAGCGGGGGTAGGGGGGCTGCAGCCTCTGCCCCACAGCGCGTGAGGACGGGTGCCGTTGCAACCGCCCATCCTCTCCATGGTTGTGGAGATTCTTCTTAAGCCAAAAAGAAAAGATCTAGGAAGCAGAGACTGAGGCCAGTTTGTGATTATGCATTTTAAGGCCACTGTCTTGTCTAGATTGAGGCCTGGCTGTGGAGCTAAGAGTAAACACAGCACTGGTCTTGCCTATCCTGTAAAATCAAAGCAATAGATTGTCTCCCTTTCTCGCTCCAGGGAGGTAGAATTTCCGTAGACATTAGAAGCCATCTGATTTCCAGATGAAGTTTTACAATTGTTTCTTAAACTTACGTGCACTAAATACTTTTTTTAACCAGAGGCAGCTGGCACCGCCTTAAGGTAATTTTTACATCTCCACAACTAGCATATAGATCACGTGAACTGCTAAGCAATAATCTGTTCCCAGAACAGACTTTTAAACCTGCTGCCAGATTTCTCCACGAAGCTGGATGATCCTGAGGGCCAACCACTGCTGCTGGAAGGTGGCCCAGGTTTTTATTCTAATCCCAGTGAGGCGATAGTGTGACCCTGAAAACTTGGGAGGAGCACCCCATCCCTCCTTTTGGTTACAGCCTGGGCCACCCTGCTTAGTACCTCTGCCCCTAGTGAGCAAGGAGGGCTGTAGCCGTGGAAGTGACTGCGGCCCTGACAACAGCCTTCTGAACATCCTTTGGACCAAAGCAGACCTCTTGATGCCCAGCTCGGTTTCACAGATGTGCGCATTAGCCCAGGTTCCTGTCACCCATTCAGCAGCAGCTGTTGTTATGCCCTTCGTTCCTGCTGGGAGAGGGAGGAACGAGCTCCCTGGTTTCCAGTGTTTATTTGGTAACCTGAGTTCATTGTTTTCAAAACACTGAATTACTGTCGCCTTGACAAACACGTTTCAATAAAGCTTTGTAAGGATAATCGGACATGCGCTTGGAGGAGGCTTTGATGTTACTAGCCAGTCATGTGGGCAAGATACTGGCACTCTTCCAGAGGTTTTCGCAGGACCATCCTGTGGCTCTAGGGCGAGGGGACAGGGCTGCTCCACCACTCCAAGGGCTGAGGGCCATTCCCTTGACCCACCCATTCACCGTGGTTTGGAAGTCTGTGAAGAGGCTTAGAAACTGAGCCCCTTGGAACTGACCCAGTAACAATGGGGAGCTGAGGAGAGGAGGTCAGAGTGAAGATTCCTGGCTTGGGCAGGTTGCTGGTATGCCTGGCCAGAGGCTTTGCTTCCTTTGGCTCATTAGCAAGCTGTGCAGGGAGCCTGAGAGCCTGACACTGGCTGGTGAGATAGGGAACCTTTCTGGAGTCAGAGCTGTTCTCATCAGCTGAAAGGGGCTCTGTTCCTCCTCCCCAAAAGATGGACGGTTACTGGTGTCCCTTTAACCCGTTTCTTCTCAGACATCAGGAAATGTGTAAAGTAAACGTAGCAGAAAAAGGAAGCTCTGGCTTGTCTGGTCCACTTGGGGTGGAACGTAGCCTAGAAAGTATGCCAAGTTGGATAATTATCCATCTTACACTGGAAACCTAAGAAATGTAGGTACCCTAGATTTAGAGCCTATAGGGGTTATTAAAGTAGACAAAAAAGGCAAAACAAATCCTCTCAAAAATTGGATAAAATGTTTTAAAATACAACTGATACATAGCCAAGCTCAGGCACAAAAGAATATTACACCAGAAACAAAGATGCCATTGCCCTTTGCAGGGGGCTAGGTGTGCATAGGTGGGGCCAGGACCCAGCTCTGGCCTCCAGGGCTGGGGTTTGGCATACCCAAGCAGGAAGTGCCCTGCTGGAGTAAGCCCCAAACAGCACTGCCCTTGCTATAATAGGGTTGAGAAAATCTGCTGGCCTGAGTCAGGGCTCGAAGGGAGCCACCAGCCCCAGGCCACAGGTATAAACAGCAAGAAATCAGAAAAATCCAGCAAACTAGTTCTACCCACAAAGGGTAGGAAAGGCTGAGGTAAAAATCCAATGTAGAAACTAGTGTGGAGCCAGTCACCCTATAAGAGTCCTCTAAACCTTGGGGCCATACGGGATCCCCAGGTGAGATAACTTGAAAGATGACAAGCACACCCACAAAACAAAGAGGTTCGTGGGTGTCTGAAATAGCACTCGCCATGTGTGAGAGCATATTTAAAAGATTTCATTTTCTTTACAAAGCAACACAAAAGGAAGTCTATTGTAACCAGAAAACACTGCCCACGGACGCAAATAAAAAAAATTTCATAGGGACCAGCAGTTAGCATAATGGCTATGTCGCTGGACTCCCATGTAGTCGACCACGGTTCACATCCCGGATCCGGTGGCTTAAAACTCACGCCGGGCACGTGTGCGTGCGTGCCCAGGATCCCAAGAGGAGGATGGAGAAGGGATTGCAGCGTGGCCATCCCCCCTGGGGGGTGATTTCTCACTTTCTGTCTCTCTGTCTATCTCTGTCTGGCGAGTGCACGCACCCTACAGCAAAAACCTCTCGAAAAAAAAGAAAAAAAAATTGTATAGCCAGTGAGCTAAAAGTTACGGGGGTTATTTTATGGAGATGGAAAAGGAGAACCTGCTTTGCCCAAATCATGGGGCAAAGTCACAGGTCGGATTGGGGTTTCCTGTGTTCCAGGTCATGTTTCCTCTGTTAGCATTTCCCTTAGGGGGTAAGGACTGGCTGGTTAGTTAAAGCTTAACTTAAATTGCTTTTGAATGAAGATATATTTTTCCTCCGGAAGCTGAGGTACAAAGGAATTTATAGAGCCAAAGATAAGACCTGAAAATTGCTAAAATGTAAAACAGTCTTGCAGGATAAGTAGAACCATAGATTGAAAAGATGAAACAAAAGATAAAAGGACCCAGACAAGGCTGTTTCCTTCTTAGTTCATCTGTGTTGCCTCAACAGAAATACCCGAGACTGGATGATTTATAAAGAGAATTGGCTCGATTCTGATGGAAAATCCTGGCATCTGGCCAGGTTCTAGTGCTATGTCACAACATGGCCAGGAGAAGCAGGAAGGGACATGGGTACATGCAGAGAGACCTATGAGTGATTGACTTTTAGAACAACCTGCCCTCTTGGGAACTAATCACTGAAAACAGACTGCTTAATCTATTCATGAGAAATCCATTCCTGTGTTCCAGGTACCTCTCATTGGGCCTCCTTCCTAACGCTGCTCCTTTGAATGTTATTGTGTAAGTTTTGGGAAGGGCAGGCGTGGCCTCACTTATGGATATAAATGTGAGGGTAGTTGATAGAGCTTTAAGACCAAGTCACAAGCCTGATGGGGTCACTGTTGAGTTAGCCATTCCCCCGTCTCCTAGAGTGGACACTGGACCAAGATTAGGGATGATCCAGTCCAATCACTGACTAGCTTTTGGCAGATCACATGGCTTCTCAGCCTGATTTTCTCTAAAGAAGAAAGACATCGGACTAGCACTAAGTGTTCCCTAAGGCTCCTTTCATTTCATGTTGGAAGCCACAAAGCCTTTACAACATGAGTGGAATACGGCCACCGACAGGAGCCAGGTAAGAAGAAAGTGCCAGCACCTCACTCAGCTCAGTTAGGAAACCACCTAGACTCTAAGACCAAGACTGAAAACTGGGACATCAAAAACTGATACCACAGCTGAGGTAAGAGACTGAACCTCACGTAGGGGAAATCAGAACTTTAATTCAGTTCCTTTTCTGTAAGTATGGCTTCATCTCCAAGTATGTACTCAGTTCTGATGTACGACTGTCCACTGCTCTGGTTTAACTAAGTCCTCTCCAGATATTGCCAATGAGATAGTGCTAAGAAGCAGTACCTTTTTACTTTTTTTTTTTGAGAGGTTTTTGGTTTATGGTGCATGTTCTTGCCAGAAAGACAGAGAGACAGAAAGTGAGAAATCACTCCCCAGGAGGGATGGCCACACCGCAATCCCTTCTCCTCCATTCTCCTCTCGGGATCTTGGGCACACACGCACATGCGCCCAGCGTGAGTTTTAAGCCACTGGGTCAGGGACGCAAACCGCGGTCGACTACATGGGAGTCCAGCAACATAGCCATTATGCTAACTGCTGGTCCCAGAAGTAGTGCCTTTTAAGAGGTGACTAGGCCATGAGGGAATGGGATTCCTGCAGCATTCAGCTAGCTTGTCCTCACACATCCTGCCATGTGGGGACACAGCAGGAAGACATCATGGAAGCAGACAGCAGCTCTCACCACACAATTCAACCTGCTAGTGCCTTGATCTTGGACTTCCTAGCCTCTAGAACTGAGAGAAAATTCTTACTTTATAAATTACCCAGTTCTGCACATTTTGTTATAGCAGCACTAGACAGCCTAAGTCATCCACTGATGTTTACAAATGGTGTTTTTTTTTTTTGGAGAGGTTTTTTGCTACAGGGCATGTGCACTCACCAGACAGAGAGAGACAGAGAGACAAAGCGAGAAATCACCCCCCAGGGGGGATGGTCACGCCACAATCCCTTCCCCTCCATTCTCCTCTCGGGATCTTGGGCACACACGCACATGCGCCCAGCGTGAGTTTTAAGCCACTGGGTCAGGGACGCAAACCGCGGTCGACTACATGGGAGTCCAGCAACATAGCCATTATGCTAACTGCTGGTTCCCACAAATGATTTGTTTTTTTTTTAAAGATTTTTTGCTATAAGGTGTATGCACTCACCTGAAAGACAGAGAAACAGAAAGCAAGAATCAACCCCCCAGGGGGATGACCATGCCACAATCCCTTCTCCATTCTCCTCTTGGGATTTTGGGCACTCATGCACAAATGCCCGACATGAGTTTTAAACCACCAGGTCCAGAACTCGAACTACATGGGAGTCCAGTGACATAATCATTACGCCATCTACTGGCCCCATACAAATAGTTTTAATGAACTAATAAAGACCTAAGTCTGTGGACCACTCGTTAAATCCCACGTTCAAGGAATCCTTCCTTAGCACGTCTACTGACCAGGCTTCAGCCGTGCAACACCAACTACAATTGTCTTCAGGCAATAACAAGGAAGTTATGGACATATACATTTCTTCTAAAACCCAAGTCTTCCCAAATAATTGTAAAAATATCTACAGGGCCCTCCTAATAGTTGTCACCAATGTGAGCCAGACCTCTGGAGAGCACTCTAAAAGCTAGAGCAACAGCCAGAGCCCAATCTGTGTCCCAACCACCATCTCTGGGATCAGCCATTGGGCCCTCCTCTCAAGAGTGGGCTCCTATGTCTTTTTTTTGTCCTTCATACAACTAAAGGGCCTTTCCCGTTATGGGGACACCAGACTTTAATGCTACCTTTATTTCCGGCCTTTAGAGCAAATTCACCTAATATCTGGAAAACTCACCAGCCAGTGAGAACACAGGCGATAGCACCAGATGTGCACACCCTGGGGTCATTTTATTTTTCCTTTCTCCTGGCTCTCTGAAGGACAGCCTGAGTTATGTACGGTAGTAAGTCATTATCAGAGTTCTTTCCTCTACCTCTAACAAGCTCTTCAGGGCAATTAGAGTTCCATTAATCATTGACAGACTCAAGGGAAAACAAAATGATCAATGCTGTACTACATTTGCACTACCCCAACTTCAGACGATAAAGCTTCAACATCTGATTAAGCAAATGATAAAATCTCTATATAAACTGCTGGATGCCGAGGGCCACAATCCCCCAGGCTTCAGACATTATTAGCAGTATTTAAACTACCAAGAAAGAAATCTGACAAAAACTAGAGGACACCAAGATTTCCCAACCTTAGGCAATTGAGACAGGGCTGGGACACTGTCCATAGGAGGGTTGTCCTGTGCATGGTAGGATTTCAGCAGCATCCCAGAGTGGTAAACCCCGAGTTGAGACAAAAATGTCTCCAGACATCGTCAAACATTCTCTGCAGGGAAGGGAAGCAACATCTCACTTAGAACCAGTGGAACAAGCCCATTGAACTGTTGTATTATGAGAGTGAAAGATTAGCTGGTCACATCCCTAGCGATCTACCCTTAAGGCTTTAGACTTCAATCTGCATAAATGTTTCTAAAGAAAATCACATTCAGGAGGCTCAGTTCTGAAGACCGATTAGCTATTCAGTTCTATGAAGCAAATCATCTCTTTTTGCCCTAAGTCTCCAAATCCTAAAGCTTCATGGTTATGGAATTTGCTATGCTGTCTTCGGTCTCATGAAAAATTCAGTTGTTAAGAGACCAGCAGTTGGCGTAATGGCTATGTTGCTGGACTCCCATGTAGTCAAGCGGTTCTAGTCCCGGACCCAGTGGCTTAAACTCATGCCGGGCACATGTGCATGCATGCCCAAGATCCCGAGAGGAGAAGGGATTGCAGCGTGGCCATACCCGCTGGTGGATGATTTCTCACTTTCTGTCTGTCTCTCTCTCTTTCTGGTGAGCGCACACACCCTATAGCAAAAAAAAAAAAACTCTCAAAAAAAAAAAAAATTCAGTTGTTAAGAGGGCCAGTCAGGTGGTAGTTAAGGCAAGTGGATCCCCCATGGCCGACTGCATGGTTCAAATTCTGGACCTGGCAACTTGGAAAACACACCAGGTGCATGTGCATGCGTGCCCAAAAATCCCTGAGATAAGGAGGAATTGTGGCATGGCCATCCCCCGTTGATGGTGATTTCTTGCTTTCTCTCCCCCTTGAGTGCACATGCCCTATAGCAAAAACTATAAAAATAAATAAATGAATTTTTTTAAAATTGTAAGCTCAGAAAATGCTGACATCTAATTACCTACTTAAGAAACAAGAGTGGGGGAACCAGCAGTTAGTGTAATGGCTATGTCGCTGGACTCCCACGTAGTTGACCGCGGTTCGTGTCCCGGACCCAGTGGCTTAAAACTCATGCCGGGCGCGTGTGCGTGTGTGCCCAAGATCCCGAGAGGAGAATGGAGGAGAAGGGATTGCGGCGTGACCATCCCCCCTGGGGGGTGATTTCTCGCTTTCTGTCTCTATGTCTCTCTCTCTGTCTGTCTGGTGAGCGCACGCGCCCTACAGTGAAAATCTCTCCAAAAAAAAAAGAAACGAGTGGCAGCAGGAAATGTTGGGCCTCATTTTATGATGTGGCTGAGTAATTTGTTGATTGTTTCTCTGAGGTCATTCCTTAGGGTCCAGAGACCCTCTTCTGGCAGATTCCTTTTAAGAAAAAGAAATAAGGAAACCAAACCATGTTTACTTAGCTTTTGAAGTGTTCTGTGGCTACCAAGAATGCTCAGGACAGTAACAATGCTCAGGTTGGCATTTAATGGACTTTTTCCTGATGTTATGAGGAAAGAAAGGTCCCATCATTTTACTTGTCTTCTGAATCACTTTCATTCTTACAATGATAACTTTGTGGACAAGCCTGCCCAACAATAAAATAGAAAAGAGGAACAGAATTGAAACTACGGTTCCTATCACACGTGCTGTGGTTTAAATGTGTCCCCCCAAAGTCCAAGTGTTGGAAACTTATTTCCCAATGCAACTGTATTAAGAACTGAAACCGGGGCTGGCAAGGGGTGTGGAGGTTAAGGCAGCTAGATCCCACATGGCTGACTGTGCAGTTCGAGTCCCTACCTCTTTCAATACCTGGTGGCTTGAAAATCATGTTGGGCACGTGTGCATACCTGTCCCACATCCTGAAAGGAGAATAGAGAAGGGATTGCAGTGTGGCTGTGCCCCCGTAGGGGGTGATTCCTCTTTTCCTCTTTCTCTGTTTCTGGTGAGCACACATGCCCTATAGTAAATAAAAAATAATAATATTTAAAATTAAATCATTCTTTTTTAAAAAAATCCATGACTAAAAGCAGCAGGAACCATAGTGAGGATAGGGATCACCATTTGCCAACACTAGTGTTTGTCTGGATCAAGCAAGTTTATACTAATGAACTAAAATAACATAGACAAAATGTACCTTGCAGGCTGTAAAATTCATCTAGTTAAAAATGGTAGTATTTACATTTTTAATTACCTTGATTTGAACTCCTCCCTCCAAAGAAATATATATTATTATATTCTCAGTGTCCTGATTGTAATGGATGAGACTATTTAAGTTGACCTGTTTTTCTGCTTAGCTGCTTTATAGAACTGGGTAATCCATACTTAAGTAATCCTTTCGAAACGGCCTGTGGACTGCCTAAGGGGCTTTCCCATTCTGCAGTTCTAGAAAATGACCTTAATAGCCAATGGACTGAATAAACGTCAACAATTTTACACTTCTGGAAGAGAATGCCACATTTCTTGATTACAGGATAGCAGCATCCTCTAACTGCCATGGTTTCCCCCACTCCACTCCCCACAAAGTAAAGAAGGCCCCCGAACAGGACAATAAACCTGTGATTACACTGGTGATATTTTTTATGGACTCTCTTACGAAAAGAAGAGGTCATTGCACTAATGCAAATGTTTTTAGATCATTGCTTTATTTCACTATTGTTCAACAACAAAGTTCATTTCTCTCAAGGTGGATCTTGAACTGTTCTTGTGTTCTCTTCCTCATTCTGAATAAAAAAGGTAATGAAGAAAAAGCCTGTAGTTTTGGAGACCTAGAATCTTATTTATGCTAATAAGCTTTTGACTGCAATTTCGTGTCACGATATTTCCCGCTGGCACTCGGTGGTCACATGGAGCTCCCCACCTCCAGTGAAGATAGGTATCCTCAGTGACCACCGTTAAAACCAAAAGTAAGTGTTGAAAAATGCACCTTTTACAATAAAAAAGTAGAAACCAATTCAATTTCCTTTTTTTTTTTTTTTTACGAATATAAAGTTTCTTGTAAATATGTACAGTCTTTTGAGCTAGTTCTATATAGCAGGAAGCATTTCACAAATGAGACACACGATATACACTTTTAGGGCTCAAGAAGCCCGTTTCTCATGGAGATCCTAAATGAAATGCCAAGACTGAAAGACCAATTTTCAGTGACCTTTCCAAATACTTGTGGACCAAGAGACATAAACTTCAGCAAACATTCAGTCAGATCTGCCCTGGGGGAGGGTGGGGAGGAAGTCTGACTCCCAAGACTCCAAGCAACACATAAAACACAACAGCAGGACACTTGGCAAAGATGCAACAACATGGAGTTCATGGGCGTTTCGAACAAGAAAGCACTTAGGTAAAGAGACGAGCAGGAAGGAGCCAGGAATCGGGCCAAGTTGCAATCTGGAAGTGACCTGAACTGTGGACACATGGGTTGAAAACACGGGCGTGTTCACCTGCTGCGGTGGAAACAGGTCTACCTTTCAGCCTACCTAGGATGTGCCTTGGTTGTCGAGGCGAGCCTAAGAGTCATGGAGAATCCAAAGCAAGAGATGCCTTGTGGGAGATTAAAGGCAGAAATAAGGCCGCTAGTTAGCTTGCCAACTGCAAAGCCTCTAGGTTGGTTCTATACCGGTCGCCAGGAACGCCTACTCTACCAGAGGGTAGAGAGAAACGGTAGGAGCCGCACTGCACCTAAGGAGGACCTCCCAAACCCGGCAGAGTTGGAGGAGTTGAGCTGCGGCTTCTTTCTCAAGCTTCCTGGTCTTAGGTCTAGCCCTAGGAAAAGGCTCATTTGGGAAGTCACAGTTTCGTGGGGTAGAACCGTGCTGGATTTTGTGTGAACACAGTCATCCGCGAGGGAGTCGGCAGGGAAGTGTGAAGGCCGGAGGGGATACCGAGTGTGAGGTGGTGGCTTGCTGAAATCCTTCTCTGGTCGTAAGGCTTGAGCGTTTTGTTTTTTGTTTGTTCAGTGCTACAGACTGCAGCTTGGTGTGGCCAGTTGGTAAGTCATCAGAGGGTCTTGATTTGGCGGGAGCTATGGGATGGCATTAGTACATTGGCAGAGCAACCCAAGGGGTCAGCCAGGTCAAGGGGCAGCACATGCAGTGATCCGCCATGCAGAATTCCCGGATGGGTCTCTTCCCCATCCCGGAGTGGGGAACAACACACCCTCACAGACAAGAGGTGGGTGTCCCCAGTTCCCTCCCCGACCCTGAGGCCCATTAATGCCGGGCTCAGAGTAAGTCTATTGCATGCTTTCCTGGCCAAAGCTACGTGGAAAGCAGGGACAGCAGGCTGAAAGGGGTGATGCTGAGGGAGGGAAAGGAAAGCTCTGCGAGGTCCCTTGGCCCTAAGTCACTGCCTCCGAGCGAGCGGAAGCCCGATGACCTCCGTACATTCTCAGCTGGTGGGAGGGGGAAGTCGTCAAGGCCATTAAAGGCAATGAGAACAGTAAACATTTGGCTACGATGTCACCCTGGGTAAAACAGGGCCATCTATGGGAACGGACTGGAAGAATGAGCCTACGTGAATGCGGGAAGGTAGCCAACTGACGGGGACTCTTCTACACTACATTTCAGTAGCAAAGACCTGATGGTGTGTGATCTAGCTAAAAATGACGACAGGAAATACATTGCTATTCAAATCTATTAAGAAGTCTGTTGTCTTAAAAAAAAAAAAAAAGAAAAGAAAACAAAAGGAAGAAGAAATGAGAAAAAAAACTAAAGCCAAAAGAAAAACCAACCAACCCACCCTAGGACATTAGAGTAGCTAATTAGGATTCTAACCACGTGGTAGTTAGTGTCCTGGTTGGTTTCCTTGGATGAATTGGTACAGGCTAGAGCTAGGTACAAAAGTTTATGAATGCTCTGAAAGAGTAACAAAGTGCAAAGAAGATGACTGCAAGAAGGTGCCTGGAGGAGGCACCGAATGCCAACAGCTCCGAAGAGCCGCAGCCACCTGCACCTCCTGGAGACGGGGGTGTCCGTGCTGAGAAGGGTCTGGGCCCAGCTGTGCCGTAGAGTGGCTGAGCAGATGGGCACTGGGGTCCCTTGCAGCAGAGTTCCATAGTGTGTTTGCTGTTTTCCTGCAGATTGAGATGAGGAGTTGGTTTTTCTGGCTGAGATTTATACTGAAGACTGGTCCCAGACCTAGGAGCGAAAGGAGGAGGAGGGGTTTTAGCTGTCCAAGGCCAGAAACTGCTGTGCTCACTTTGCACGACCCAAAGGGGGACTTACATCATCTGTCTGTCCTGTCAGCAGGTAATGGTAAGCGTTATGCAGGGCAGCGTTAGGAAGAAAAGTTTACTGAAGAACCCTCAGAGCTATATGTGCACTTCCACTGTTAGGAGCGTACACACACACGCACACACACACACCAGTTTTACTGGTCAATCAGAGGGGATAAGAAAAAACATCTCGATGGCTTGTCCTTTTTTCTTTACTAGCAAAGGTGCCAACAGTGAACTGCAGGTAGCAGTAAAAGGAGAATGCCCTTGGGGAAGTTGGCCCTGATGACATAAAAGTAGGTCTGCTGTCCCCAATGCACTGCTGGAACCACCCAGCCTGCTGAGGGGACACCCAACACTTGGGCTCTTCCCTGCTCATGGGAGCCTCCTTGTCTTCAACATATCCACTCATCCCCTCAATCACGAACCTAAAAATTACAGAGAGAACATGTGCATGTGATCAAAACTTTTCAGGAAGTTCAAAGCTATAGAAAAAGTCAACCATTATTACCAGTTTCTGTGTAGCCTTCTAGGAAAAAAACTCTGTATACATACATGTCTATGCGTGTGCATCTGTGTGTTCGAAAACTTCAAGGCATAGGACATTTTGTATAGTTTGTGATCATTTGTGTTTCAAAGGGCAGACCACATGTATGTGTTTGTGTGCATAGAATTTTCTCTAGAAACTGCAAACACGCGCCTCTGCAGAAAGGGACAATATAGCCCTTGGTGGCTGCTAGATTCTAGCCTCGGGGACAGATGCGTAGACCTCAGAATGTCACCTCACCTTGTTGACTTGGGACAATGGGGTCCTCACGGCTCCTGCAGGCAGCCGGCCCCTGCTGCTGTCTTCGAACAGCCTCCCAGGGGATCGCTCCCTCCGCGTGCTGAGCATCCGGCCTGGGGACTTCTCCCGCTCCAGGGGGCGGCCGGGAGACTTGTCCCTGCGCAGCTCGGTGCGCCCCTCTCGGTAGCGGTGGGGTGTGCTTGGCTCTCGGGGGTGGCTGGGGCCTTCAGGTGGTGCTGGGCTGGAGGCCACGCGCTTGGTGATGTGCTCGTTGTATGTTGGCGGGCCTCGCTTGTTGGGGCTGCTGGCAACAAGAGAGGGAGGCGGGGAGCTGAGGAGTCACAATCCTGAAGGGGTATCTTCCCTCTTCTCTAAGCAGCCCTCACACCCTCACATGAGAAAAAGATTAGACCGGGGCCAGCAGGTGGTATAGTGGTTAAGGGGGCTGGACTCTCACATGACCGACTGCAGTTCAAGTCCCGAACTTGGTGGCTTGTTTTCTCACTTTCCTTTTCTCTCTCTCTCTCTTTCTCTCTCTCTCTCTCTCTGTCCCTCTCTGGTCAAATTAAAGTAAATAAAGTTAAATAAAACAGGGCTTAAAATAAAGAAAAGAAAGAAAGAAAAAGATTATACCTGGAGTGCTTCAGACCTTTTGCTTTCGTTTGGTAGAGAGAATGGGAAGAGGGCAAAAATGGCAACGAAAAGACATTGAGCTTTTTTCTCTTGATGCAGGCTTACTGAGTACCTACTGAGTACCCGGCCCTGTGCTCAGCCCTTCCTAGGCATTATCTCCTTAAATCATCACAACCTTTACGAGCTACAAACAAGCATGACCTTCACAGTATAGGCAAGAAATGGCAGGCCACGTGGTAGTGCAAAGGTAGCACCACTGGACCCCCTGGTTCATGGCCCAGGACTCTCCTTAGTACACCTGGGCAGGGCATGCCTACAATCCAGGCTGGGTGGAACTGGGGGTGGATTGTGGTAGGAAGACCCTGTTGGTGGTGGTTATCCTGCTGTATGTCTGTCTCTCTGATGGAAGAAATACATTAATTAAAATTTTTTAAAAGAAAGAAAATGGAGACAGAGGTCGGGGAGTCCCCTGAGCCAGTGTGTGCTAGAGCTGGGACTCCTACAGAGGTCAGTTTGACGTCATAATCCCCCAAATATATCCCACTGACCTAGTATCTTCCTGAGCCTAGAAGGCACAGATGGAAGTCTTCCTTTAGGAGTTAAGCCTGCTTAAAAACCCAGAAGTCAGTGACCCGCAAAGGCCCTTGATTCATGAGTGGTTCTGAGGAAGCCTGAACTCTTCACTGTCAGTGGCCATATCTGTCCCACTTCTGGGCCTGGTGTTTGGTCACCTTCCCCTCCAGATGGTTTTTTAAGAGTCTGTGTGACATCTGATGAGGATGAGGAGCCATGGAAAGTTGACCATTCTTATTCAAGACAATAAGATGGGCCTAGCATCTGTGGCACAGTCCACTGCAAACTGAACTGCAGTGCTGGCAGCTGCACAGTTGACCACAGGTTCGGATTTCTGGCACGGTGAACATGAAGCACTCTGGGCACATATGTGCATGGCCCAAGATCCTGGTCAACCAAAGGGCTGGGAGACAGAGATCGTAGTGTGACCAGACCCTGTTAAGAATCTTCTCTCTCTCTCTCTCTAATCCTCTCTCTCTCATTCTCCATCACAAATAAATACACTTTAAAGGGGGGAGGGAGAGAGGCAATCACTGGTGTGGTGGTTAGGGAGCTGGGGGCTGGATCCCACATGGCCAACCTCACATTTAGAGTCTGGGACCTGGAGTCTTGAGAAACACTGGGTCCATGTGCGTGTGCCCGAAAATCCTGAAAGGAGGGAGAAATGGAGAAGGGACTGCAGTGTGACCATTCCCCATGGGAGTCGCTTTCTCACTTTCCCTCTCTCCCTAGGTCTCTGCGTCTCTCTGGTGAGTGTATACACCCTCTGGCAAATTAAAAAAATAATAAGATGACTGAGAAGCATAGGGTTCAGTCCTCATATCATCAGGAAACTGAACAGGGAAGACAAAAACAATATAGCTAGCTCAAAAAATGTTCCTGGCCCCCAAGGCTGATGGTTAATAACCAAGCAGTTGTTTGTGTTTGTTTTGTTTTGATGACCAATTCTACTCCCTTGCCCAGACCTGACCTGGATATTTTCAATGAAGACTCTAGCAGCCCCATGACCCTAACTACATTCCTAAAGACACAGATCTACAGATACAGAGAAAACTGAAGTGCAGCCTTCTGAGTCAGTTCCTTCTCATCTCAATCAGCAGAAAAAGTCCTGGGGTGCTCATTATCTGAGTATAATTGGTGCTGGGAAAGGGCAACTCACTTAAAACAGGGACAACAGTTTATAGTGAATAGTACTTTGATTGATTAGAGTTTTTACTCTCGGAAAATAAAACTAGAAATCAGGATAACAATTTTATCCTAGATATTTTTAAAAATCTAAATTACAATGCAATTACATGCAGGTTCTAAGAATGAACCCACTGTGACTCACATACTGATTTATTTTGCTCTCATTTTCTTAACGAAATTACACGCTAACGTAATATGGTATTCTTTATATAGACTTTTGCAATAAGATTCTAAAGAAGGTCATTTCAGAGCCAGACATTGGCTCAGTGGTTAAAAAAAAAAAAAAAAAAAAAAAACTTGTGACCCTGCACAGCAATTGCACATGGGAAGGTTCCTCATTCAAATCTAGAGACCTCCCTGAGTAGCTCCGGGGCTGGCTGAAAGCTGGAGGTGGATTGTGGCATCGAGACCCTGTTGGGGCTGCTGCCTCTACCTCTCTCACTCTCATTCTTGCTCATGGAAGAAATAAATAAATGACCTTTCTTGGGGGAGAGGCATGTGTACTTGCTGAAGAAATAGAGAGAGAGAGAGAGAAAGTGAGAAACCATCCCTCAGGGAGGATAGCCACACCTCTCTTCTATTCTCCTCTTGAAATTTTGGGAATGCACAAATTTTGGGCATATACACGCCTGGCATGAGTTTCAAGCTGCTGGGTCCAGGATTCAAACTGTGTTCCCCATATGAAAGTCCAGCATCTTATTCACCAAGTCACCTGCTGGCCCTAGTAAATGAACTGTTAAAAAGGAGATCATATCTTCAAAAATCTTTGAGCACATCATTAATTTTCCCAAAGGTCTATCTTAATCCTTGGTATTTGAATCCTTCTCTATGGAAGAGGCTATCAATTTACCAGCTGTTACCAGAGTACATAAGGAACTAAAGAAGCTGTTTGGAAAAAAGATGATGAACCCTATTAAAAGATGGGAGAGGGACCAGCAGTTAGCATAATGGCTATGTTGCTGGACTCCCATGTAGTTGACTGCGGTTCGCATCCCGGACCTGGTGGCTTAAAACTCACGCCAGGCGCATGTGCATGCGTGCCCAAGATCCCGAGAGGAGAATGGAGGAGAAGGGATTGTAGCATGGCCATCCCCCCCAGGGGGTGATTTCGCGCTTTCTGTCTCTCTGTCTCTGTCTGTCTGGCAAGCACGCGTGCCCTATAGTGAAAAACCTTTCAAAAAAAAGATGGGAGAAGGACTTGAAAAGAACACTCACTAAAGATGACATACAAGTAGCCAAAAGGCATCATCGTAAGGGAAATGCAGATCAAAACAACAATGAGATACCTACCACCTAACCCCAGTCAGAATGGCTAAGATTAAAAAAACAAAAAATGCTAAGTGTTGGCAGGGTGTGGTAAAAGGGGAACTCTCTTACACTGCTGGTGGGAA